TACTACTACTACTACTTCTACTACTACTACTACTACTACTACTACCACTACTACTACTACTACTACTACTACTACTACTACTACTAATACGACGACGACTACTACGACTACTACGACTACTACGACTACGACTACTACTACTACCACTACCACAACTACTACTGCCACAACCACTACTACCACTACTACTACTACTACTACTACGACTACTACTACCACGACTACCACTACCACTACCACTACCACTACTACTACTGCTACTACTACTACTACTGCTACTAGTACTACCACGACTACTGCTACTACTACTGCTACTGCTACTGCTACTACTACTACTACTACTACTGATACTACTACGACTACCACTACCACTACTACTACTACAAATACTACTACTACCACTACTACTATTACTACTACTACTACTACTACTACTACTACTACGACTACGACTACGACTACTACTACTACTACTACTACTACTACGACTACTACTATGACTACGACTACGACTACGACTACGACTACGACGACTACTACTACTACTACGACTACTGCTACTACTACTACTACTACTACTACCTCTACGATTTCTACTACTTTATATTTTGTGTTGGGTCTGTGCAATGTGTAATTTGAATTTCAAACGTTTGATTTGTTTGGGATTCTGCAATTTTTACGTTAATATTTTCGAACTTTACGTACATTTGGTGGTTCATGAATGCGGATCGTCGAAACACGGTGTTACAGAGTAGTCGTTGTCATACGTTGTCGCGCGTGAACCGCATGGCGACGCAACGACCGCGACGAGCGTAACCAATTGGTACGCTGGGGCGGCGTTGCAAGTTGCATCGATGCAACGTATGGCCGACGTCCCATCGACGTTTGTACAATCGACGATACCGCTGCAACAGCGGCGTCGAGCATGCATGCTATAAGTGCTGGCGCGCGCTAAACGCAATACACCACAGTACAAAGACATCACTACGACGTACGATGTACTAATCATGTGTACACGCACGTCATTAGTGCGTGTGGTTGTAATCGTACATGTACACCGTGACTGTCAGTAATACGTCATTCGCCAAATTGCCACTTGCACGCAATGAGCACCACGTTACATCAGCACACAACTGCGATCTGTCAGTCGTTCCGTTGAAACCATCTGCACAGCGTTGACTCACACCCCCACGACAACCGCAACGTCTTTGACTGCGACATCGGGTGTTGCGGCATGGGATTGGCGATCTTGGGATGTGCATTCAGCACAGGTGTGCATGGCGTATCCAAGTACGACCGGTTTTGCAACGTCAGCCGTCATGCTGAAACTGTTATAGTCGAACTTGGTGCGTTGTCCAGGTCTCAAGAACATTGAACCATCAATGCGAGCGTTCGTCTTCGAATCAACGTACTCACACTGCGCATCGCCAACCACAGGATGAACGGGCCGTGGGTCGACTTCGAAGTTGATAGCGCCGTCTACGCGAGGTGCGCGCGGCGCATCTATTGACGCACAGTCAACGGAACGCAACGAGTGCTTGCGCAAGAAGAAGCAGTAGCCGCACGACTTCATAACTTCCACGTAGATGCACCCAGGATCGTGTTTAATCATGCGCCTGACCAGCGCACGCTGACGCGTGACGACGCACGCGCAACGCTGCATCAACTATTCGTTGGCGATGAAAAGCAAACGTAGCAGATCCATCGGGCAGGTATTCAAAGCGTCCGTTTCGCACGTGGTCTCCCCGGCGTGGATACAGTTGCGCTCGCGTAAGCTGTCCGCAATTTGCTTGCACTCGCATTCGTCGCACGTGGGAATTGGACGCTCGTAGGCGCGCGGCGCTAAACGCGCGAAAGGAGGTTGCGGCGATGCGTCGGTTTGATCACGGCACACCGTGTACTCGTGCTGGATCCTACGTACTTCTTCGAGCTGCAACGGTGAACGTTTAATTTATGTTGAGTCAGCAGGTCGTCAAGCGCATTAAAGTCGTTTGGTTGCTCCCTGCAACGGTCGCGTTCGATCTCGACGCGTTCGCCGCTGCTCCACGAGACGCGTTTGCCGACGAATAGTGACATGTACGCTGCGTCGTCGCGCGAGGCGCGACCCGCGCGGCCGTCGTCGCGTTTGAACGTCGAAGAATGGTCCGCATGGGCGGAACAGCGCATCGACGTCGGCCCGCGCGGCGCCCTCCGTTTTCCGACACGCGCGGCGAAGCGGGCGACGGTACACGCGCGCATGCTACACGCGCTCGAGAGCGTTGACACACGAGAAACCGAACCGTACATTCAAACGTTGTCGACGCTGCCCGTTCGGCGAAATCCACTCCGCGACGCGAGGCCCCTTCGGCGCGATGAGAACCGCTGGCGGCGCGTCGCCTACGTCGCGATCTTGATAACGGCCCCACCCGATGACACAGGCGATGACGTGCTCGGCACGCAACTGATTCACCGCAAAATTTCCACGTCGTCGGTCAACGAGCGCGAAGTCGCACGCGAACCTTTCAAACGTGTGACGCTGGAAAATTGCACAACGCGAGGACGCACAGGTCCTCCAATAGAACGGGCCTGCCACGCATTGCTGCCACGCGCGCTGTTCCATTCGTTCGGCAACACGAGCGCGACCTTCGTCTTAGACGCGTCAATCGCCTCGACCATAGACGTAAAGACGTCGTAGTAGTTGACGCGAGCTCCAGAGTCACGTTCAACTTCGCGCAGTAAGTCTAGCCCGTCAATAACAAAAACTGCACCCGTTGTCGCCATGGCGATAATGCAAAGTCACCGTACGCAACGTGATGTTGCTCGTCGCTGTCTTATCAAGACGTGAAATTTGCTTGTGTAGCATAGCGATTAATTCTACTACTAGTACTACCACTACTACTACGACTACTATTACTACTACTACTACTACTACTACTACTACTACTACTACTACTACTACTACTACTACTACTACTACTACTACTACTACTACTACTACTACTACTACTACTACTACTACTACTACTACTACTACTACTACTACTACTACTACTACTACTACTACTACTACTACTACGACTACTACTACTACTACTACTACTACTACTACTACTACTACTACTACTACTACTACTAGGGTCAAACTTCACCTTCGTGTCTACTAAGAATGGATGGGTAAGGGTAAGGGTTTGGGTTCGGGTTCGGGTTCGGGTTCTACACAGTCAGTTAAAACCAATTAGAATAACATAGACTAACCCTAGTTTAATCGTACACGAAGCAAGAGTTCGGAAACCCACAATTTCGCCATGCGCTGATTGGAAAACAATACAGGGGCTATAGAGCTAATGGTACACGAATATAAGGTTCGGAAGCCCACTGATTCTAATAGTACACGAAAAAGGGGTTCGGAAACCCACACTTTCGCCGTTCGCTCGCCTACTACTACTACTACTACTACTACTACTACTACTACTACTACTACTACTACTACTACTACTATTACTACTACTACTACTACTACCACTATTGCTACTACTATTACTACTGCTGCTACTGCTACTGCTACTGCTACTGCTACTGCTACTGCTACTGCTACTGCTACTGCTACTGCTACTGCTACTGCTACTGCTACTACTGCTACTGCTACTGCTACTGCTACTGCTACTGCTACTACTACTGCTACTACTACTACTACTACTACTACTACTACTACTACTACTACTACTACTACTACTACTACTACTACTACTACTACTACTACTACTACTACTACTACTACTAGTACTACTACTACTACTACTACTACTACTACTACTACTACTACTACTACTACTACTACTACTACTACTACTACGACTACTACTACTATACTACTACTACTACTACTACTACTACTACTACTACTACTACTACTACTACTACTACTACTACTACTACTACTACTACTACTACTACTACTACTACTACTACTACTACTACTACTACTACTACTACTACTACTACTACTACTACTACTACTACTACCTACTACTACTACTACTACTACTACTACTACTACTACTACTACTACTACTACTACTACTACTACTACTACTACTACTACTACTACTACGACTGCCGAAACCACCACCACCACAACCACGACTACTATCCGCGGGCGGCGGAGACCGGCACGACTGGCCCGTCCTTGTTCACCACCTGGCCGGAAATGCAGGCGGTGGTGATGTGGCAGCCCTGGGGCGGGGAGGATGGTGGCACCGGCAGCCCTCAGACTGCACCGGGAGGCGCCAGGCGCCAAGGAGCACCCCGTATGCCGAGCAGGCGCCGCCCCGCTGGAGGGGCCGCCGCCGCCGCCGCCGCCGCTGCTGCTGCTGCTGATGCTGCTGCTTAACTAACCTTATTAACGCTGCTGCTGCTGCTGCTGCTGCTGCTGCTGCTGCTGCTGCTGCTGGTGCTGCTGCTTTTGCTGCTTGGTAAACGTAGTTAATCCTTGGCCGAAACGCCAGAAACGCTGGGAGGAGGAGCAGAACGAGCAGGAGGCGCAGGACGGGGGAGGAGCAGGGGCAGGAGGGGAAAGCACAGGAGGTGGACGAGCAGCAGCAGCAGCAACAGCAGCAGGCGCAGCTTCAGCAGGAACGGAACAATGAAGACCAGGACCAGGATGAGGAGGAAGGAGGACGAGCAAGCAGGATGAGCAGCAGGAAAAGGAGGACGAGGAGGAACAGAAGCAGGAGAAGGGCGCGACATCGAAGAAGGGAGGAGCAGCAGGAGAGGGCACAGCTCCAGCACCAGTAGGAGCAGTGAGACGAGCAGGAAAAGCGCGAGCACGAAAGAGAAGGATGAGCAGTGATGTTCATACACGTGGGGCAAACTGAGGGGAGGGAGAAAGAGACCTGGCCAGTCCCTGGGCGTTCTTAAACAGGAGAGAAGAATAAAAAGAGCAGCAACCTCGAACAGGGGCACCATGAAGAGCGCCTGGTACTCCACCAGGCCCCTCTGCTGAAACGGGATGTTCGCCAGCGCTACGACGCCTGCGGCAGGTCCGGAAGGAGGAGGGGCGGGGAAAGGTAAGGAGGGAATTGGAGATGGGGAGAGGGGGAGATAGGGCTAGAGATAGAGAACGAGAGAAAGAAAGAGGATAGAGAGAGAGAAGGGAGAGGAGAGGAGCGGAGAGAAGAGGAGAGGAGAGGAGAGGAAAGAAAAGGAGGGGAGAGGAAAGAAAAGAGATGAAAGAAAAAGGAGGAGAGTGATGGAGGAGACGACTGGAGAGAAAGAAAAAAATGCATTCAAATAGAAAGAGAACTAGAATGAGAAAGACGCATGGCTAGTTGTATACACACGGCCCAAGCGGCGCCAAAGAAGCCCCAAGAGCGCTCCAAGAGGAACCCCAAGAGGGCCCAAAGAGGCAAACATCAGTGATGCTCCTTGTGTGTGTTCGATGTGCTTCGCGTTCTCGCGCTTTCGAGCTTCCGACGCTCCAAGATGGCCCCAGGGGCCCGCAAGACCGCCTCAAGACGGACCAAGAGACCCCCAAGAGGGCCCCAAGACAATCCAATAGGGCCCCAAAACGGCCCAAGAGGCGCCCAAGATCGCCCAAGAGGGCCCCAAAACGGCCCCAAGAGGGGCCAAAGAGGAGGAACACGATCCGACAATTCGAGCCTTCCGCCCCAAGAGGCCCCAAGGAGGCCCCAAGAGGTCCCCAAGAGAGCCAAAGAGGCCCCCCTGATGCCCCATGAGGCCCCCAAGAGGCCCAAAAAGAAGCCCGAACATCCAAAAGGCCTCTAACCCACAACCCAGACAAGGTGGCGGGATAGGCCGGAGGCCACTAGACATGTGTATATATGTATGACTATATGCACAAAATGTCTAGATGAGAGAGAGGGGAAGAGAGAGAGGGAAAAAGAGAGAGAGAGGACAACAACAAAAAAGAGAGGGAGAGGGAGGGGAAGCTGGCAAGGGCGAGGGGAAGTGCGACGGAGAGAGAGGAGGGGAGGAGATGCGGGAAGAATAAGGGAAGGCCAAAACAGGATAGGTGAAAGGGACGAGGAGGAAGACGAGGGAGTTGGAGGACGAGGGAGGAGGCGGCTCAATAAGAGGAAAAAAATATGCATCAGCGCTGCTGCAACACGGCCTCCCGTCCCATGTCCCCTCCTCGTGAGCCGTTACACTGCTCGAAAGCTGGGCGAGGGCTCCTAAAACCGTGACTGCTAAAACGGCCCTCCTGGAAAGAAAAAACAACTTCCCCGAATCAGGCGCGGCACGCGAAACAGTCAACGTGCATCTTCACGGAAGGACGAAGACAACTTCCCGGAGGTCGATTTTAGCAGCCACGGATTTAGCAGCCCTTGCCCGGCTTCCGAACTGCGCCACCCACCCCCCTGAAAGGCGATCGTCCCATCGGGCCGCAATTCCTGGCCATCGCTCGGACGTCCGCTTCCCGTGCACTTGTAGCCAACGTGCAGGCGGAAGCTTCGCTGTTCAAAGATCGCCAATCGTCCTTCGCCCCATATAGTGAATGCGGCGAGGCGAGGTCATCACGTTCTTAAGGAAGGGCCAGACGACAGCCCCCTCTTTGAAAGGGGATCGACCTGCGTACGGCAGGTTCGTGTCGTGCCGACCCCAGCGTTGGTTTTTGACACCGCAGGGATCGTTCAACCTTGAACGATCGGCCGCTGCCGCAACGTCCGATCGTTCAACATCGATCGATTCTGAGTCGCCGGCGGCGTTCAACCTTGAACGCCCGCGCTGGGGTCGCCGCTGGTCGACACGACGCAAACCTACCGTACGCGCTGCTGCCGCACAGTGGCACAGTCGGACCCAAGACAGAAGAACATCCCTCAAGAACATGAGACTCTCCGCCGGCCAAGCTGAAGGGCATTCGAGGGCACCCTCCCCCCAGGATGCACGAGAACATCCAACAAACACGAAGAGTAGCAGGGGACCCTCCCAGAACCGATCTCGATCTTATACCTCGTTCCGACTGCAATGAATGCGGCGAGGCGAGGTCGTAAAGTTCAAGGAAGTGCCAAATGGCAACCCTCTCTTTGAAAAGGAATCGACCTGCTTCCGCGCGCAGCTGCCGCACAGTGGTACCCTGCGGTCGGAAGAAGCAGGCCGAAACATGAAGTGGTAAGGCGTTGGAAGCAGATTGGGTTTGCGCCCGCCCCCTGAAGAGGAGGGAAGAGGAGGGAAGAGGGGTGACCACTCGACTCTCGAAGCAGGAAGGCGGCTGAAGCAGGCTGGGCTCTGGGAAGCCGAAACAAAATAAGAGTTTCAACGACCAACGGGTGCACGTCTGGAATTAGGTCGGGCATGTCCCCCTACAGGCCGATTTCAAAAAATCAAAAAATACCCCAAAGTAGTAACAAAATGCTCAAAAAATCGTCCCCAGACTATGTTTTAACTATTTTTGAATATTTCTCCTGTAGAGGGACTTGCCCGACTGAAGTCTGGTGGCGCACGTCGGTGAAACCTCCGACGACAGCCCAACAAATGTCGGAAGCCGTCCGGCCTGCCTCTGCGCAGCTGCCGGAAATGGTCGAGACAAATGTGCGCGGCGCCCAGGCGACCCTGCCAGAAAGCCCGCCGCCCACCGGCCATGAAACCGCTGGAAGCGCTGACGACGAGCGCGCACGGCTGCGAGGCGAGAGCCTCCTCTTGAAGTCCTGCACTGCAGGCCCGCGGGGCCCAGTCTTTCAAGGAGGGGGGAAGGCGCTCCGCGCAGTGGAAAAATGTGACCGTGACGTCTTCTGAGCAGGGAACATGGGACGGGAGCGTGGATTGCAGCATCGTTGTTGCATACTGGGTTTATTATTCGGTGCTCCTGCTCCTCTTCCTCCTAGTCCTCCTCCTTCAGCTCCTCCTCCTTCTCCTCCTCCTCCTCCTCCTCCTCCGCCTCCTCCGCCTCCTCCTCCTCCTCCGCCTCCTCCTCCTCCTCCGCCTCCTCCACCTCCTCCTATGCTCCGCCTCATTCCCCTCCGCCTAGGCTCCAGGCAGCGGATGCCAGGGGCGCCCTCGAATTCCCGTCTGGGCTGGCCCTCGTAGCGACGAGGCGGGGGGCGCGAGCCCCTTTCGCTCAGCTTTCGGGTGCTGTACTTCTGTCCAGGGCCAGCGCTCTGACTTACATTGGTCGAAGCAGGCAGCGACACACAGAGTGGTCTACGGTACTTCCCGAATTTCCGTGGTTTCCAGCAGCAGATACATAATTACGAAAAGGCAGCGAGTTGAGTCAATGCCAGCCTGGCATCAACGTGTTCGGGCAGCTCGGGTTACGGTTAGAATCCTAACACGGCTGTCCACAGCGGACGTCATCCAAGAAGGACGTCGGTTAGCAGCTCACCACTCAGCAGATATGTCGCAGTCTTGGTTATGTACTTCACGTGCGACGACCAACTTCCTAGTGTACGACGTGCCGTATGTCTGCGATGCTACGAAATTGGAAGCGAATTCAGGCAATGATGCTGGCGATCAGGGCGGCCGAGGAAACGGCAAACGCAAGGGAGGACGGGGCAAGAGCAAGGGCAGAGGCCGTACCGATGCTGCTGTTGCTCCAGACCTCACTCGTGTATCTCCACCACCAAGGCCTGCCTCGGCTGGCGCCGCGCATGCAGTACCAGTAAGAAAGCCAAGAAGACCTGAGACCGAGAGAGCGCTCACCGTCTGTCATGTTCGCGGACGGCGCGGAACACGAAGGCATTGTAAACAGTCATTCCCAAAGCTTCAGCATCATTCCTACGCTGATGTCAAATGCGCGCTGTCACCCACACATCCAAGAAGAGCTCGACAGCGACGTCATGGCAGCATTGGGAAAGGATGTCGTAGCAGATTGTCGCAGTCAGCTACATGTACTGGCGGGAACCATTCGCTGGAGAGAGAAAGCAAGCGAGATGAATCACGGAAAGAGATCATGGTACTCACCAGTACTCACAGCCATCCATCTTCGCCGGCCGTACGATCCACAGCTCAGTTGTCAAAACAATGCGGTGAACACGGCCGTCAACAGGCAGGACCAGTTCTCACCGATCGAAGATACAGCGGAATCGTCTTGTTCGACTGGAGGAGCAGGCCCACCTGACCACTCCGACTGGGTTGAGCGTCATCGGGTGGCGCTCGACGAAACACGTTCCGCAACTCCTCTGGAAAATACGCAGGCCGACGACGACAAGAAGGCTCCAGAGTCCGATGACGCACCGAAAAAGCCGCTCCCGGTTGATTTGGTCAAAAGCTTAAGTGGGCCTTGGAAGACAGGCTGTTTTTCTACCGGTTCCGTTTTGCCGTTTGTGCTGCCGGTCCCGACGCCGTTGTTGTACCGATTCCGTCGCTGTTGTTCCACCGTTTCTGGTTCCAGCTCCAATCCTGGAGCCGTTTGTTTGCCGTTCCTGGTCGCCGTTTTTTTTGCCGTTCGTTTACATGTTCAACAAACATTTTGTCGAAAACGGTGGAAAAACCCTGCCGCTTCAGGGGCACAGCCTCTGCAGCATCACATACAACAGCGGGGTTTTCCATATATGGCCGCCATGCAGAGATCGCTGGCTGCGTTGACAAAAGCTCTTCAACCTTATTCGCAGCAGGTCGTATCATATAAGGAGAGCACGATGAACTTGCGACGGCAGTGGCAGCTTGTCCACGACAAGTGCTGCAACCATCAGCTCTGCTGCGGCTGCCCATGGTCAACCTCCAGAGCCGCAGCTTGGTCAGGCACAACAGCCACCTCAGCAAGGGCCTCAGGCACACCCGACCCCAGCGAGCTTCCTCCCGTATTGCCACCGGTTCAGAGGCCCGCGGCGATGCAGGATCGTTCTTCCGGCTGCCGACATCGCAAGCGCGGTCGAGACGGCCGTGGGAGGATGGAAGCAGCCGACCCTGCGACCGAGCCACGCGCTGGGCCCAAATCCGACGACGATCTCGACGAGGAAAAACGTCGGGATCAAAAGAACCGGGAGGGGCAACCAGAACCTCCACTCCGACCGGCCAGCCTGACGATCGGACCCATCAACTTTTCCAGGCGCTGTCAGGACGGACTCCGTGCCAC